ACACTGTCCCATGGAGTCACTACGACCTGGAATAGACCCAACAGCAACAGGGTTTGGGGTTTTACTGAGTCTTCGAAAAAGCAGCTCTGGATTAAGTTTTTCTCTCATTGAGTCACTAAGTGGATTTGAACCTCGCCCTTTCTGTCAGCAGTTGCCTGTCTAAACATTTGTATGCCATGTTGACTTTTTCAAATAAACGTATGCAAAAAACACATAAAAAGACAATGAGAAAAGGGCCACACCAGAAGAACTTGATGTGGAAGCCTGACTGAACAAATGGTCCTACCTTTAAGACTACTTTTAGCCCTTAGACTTAGGGCTGAAAGTCCCTGATAGGAGAGGAAGCAAAGGATGGCCGCCCCAAGACTGGAAATGGAGGTCACACAGCACCTTGGGTGGGATTCCTGGCTTAGTGGGCATCCAATGAAAGACGACTCAGAACCACCATATATTTTGTATCTCAATGCTCCCCTTGCATTAATATGAAAAGTATTCATCTGATAGGCAAGGATCTGCCCTTGAAGGAATATTACAGAAATTTTCCCCTAGCATCAACCCCCATGCTCAATATAAACAGAGACCAATTAAGAATTCAATCTGTACAAAGCAACAACTCATGGACTGCAGCACTATATTAAACTCCTCATATCAATAGTACCTTAAATTCTATGCCATTGGATAAACTATTGATATTATTAATGCAATCGCCTTATCCCCCAATGGGATGATTGAGTTTGTTTTCCCCTGTGGGGGGTGGGGGTGAAGGATGAAGGTATTTTGTTGTTGTTAGTTGTTGTTGTTGGTTATTGTTTTTGTCATAATATGACCACTAAAGTAAATCAGTCATTCATAACCTATGGACAAGCAGAGGAATTCTAAAAACAGTTAGTTCCACTTCATACTCGCCTTCATGCAGAGATCATTGGAGATAGGGGGTTACAATGTGGTGAAGGAAGCATATGGTGCCTGGCTATTAACTGGAATAGTGTCTGGGGTCTTAAAGGTTTGCATTCAAACAAGCAGCCACCTAAGTGAGGCGTCAAACAAGTCCACATTAAAGAAGCACACCAACCTGTGATCCAAAGATGACA